TACAATCCAGAGGAACACCAGGGAAAACACGAGCGCAAAAATTACTAACGAATAATGACCTTTAACCTTCAGAAATGTTCTTTTGCAATTCGGAAAGATTAACTTGTCTTATATTTACTGGTCAAATGATTTTCTGGGTCTTTCTCATGAAATATTTGTAGTTTTTACCATGTAGAAATAGTGAAAAATGTCCAGTTTATTTATTGACTGAATTAAAGAGCAAATTTATCTGAATTGACTACAAAACAATATTTATCTGTTATTTAAAGCTTTTCACCCTCAACGTGACCCTCATCAAAACCATTATTGATGGTTGAACTAGTTGAAGTTCCATCAACTAGTACAGTCTGGTTGCTTTAAGGCTTATTTGTCTCAAAAAGCAGAGGGACGTCCACCTCCCCCCTCTCTCGTTTGACATGTTTTCAGGAGGATTATTCCAAGGGTCCGACGTTTCGCAGACTCTTGGAATAATCCTCCGAAAACATCTCAAACAATGAGCTCTTGTTCCAATCTTAAAGAGGCCGTTTCCTTCTGAACAGGGTGGTGGGCCCCGGGTCCACTGGCGTGAAGCTTGCTCTCGTCTTCTGCGTGGTCCTGCCAACGGGAACTCCCTCGCTCCTCTCCGAGTTTCCTGCAATTGTTCTCGGCGCTGCCACCCGGCGCAGACTCCTCCCAGGATCTGGGAGGAGGTGGGGTGTTAAGCGGCCCGTTTCCCCTTTGATCGGCTTCCGCTTTAGCCGACGCAGGAGGAGTGTGTGTGAAAGGGAGAGGGGTAAAATGGCGTACATGTGCTGAAAGGCTGGGTAATTGTTTTTCTGACATCATCTCGATTGACCTTTCTTGCCTTTACCTCATACGGGAGCAGAAAGAATACACCCTTACCTTTAGCTCGGTTATTTTTATGTAGCTGCCAGAGTTCGGTTCTCAGGGCCGTGCAGAGACCACTAAAGGGGCAGGTGCTCAAAAAAAAAAAAAAAAAAAAAGGCACTTCTAATCTCATTTTAGGACAGAATAATTAACAATGATAGATTACAAAATTGTGAGACATACAATCAAAGAACATCTGCCTGGGTTGCTGTCCTTGCAGTGGCGATGAAGACGGTCCATTCAGAAAAACTGCAGGAAAAAACAAAAACAAAAGCAAAAATTTAATTACAAACTTTGAAGCATTTTTTGCTTTTTTTTTTGCCATTCTTTTGTTCACAGCAGCAATTTTCTGTTGGTCATGTCTTGAAAAATGTTAATAACCTCACTGAATGATTGGCACAGTTGACCCAGTTGGTCAACAATGCAGGTCCTTTCTTTTTGTTTCTGACGTCTCTTTTTACGTGGCATCTTTGAACTGAAACAAGCAAAACATAATGAATTATGATCAGAACACTATAATAAACCACACTACCAGTTCTTTGCCCTTGTGTTTAAACCAATATGTTTTTCAGTCCAAAGCATAACAATATTAATTCTCTCCTATGGAGTTCAATTTGTTTCACAATTATTCAATTAAAATACTAACCTCAATTAAATAATATAAAATTGTGATCAAGACATTTTGAATTGTAAAAGTTTTTTCAACAAAAAAAATGTTTAGCTTAATTTTTCTTTTAAACTAAAATCATAAATTTTTATCTCATGACTTTAAAAAATTATTTGCAAAATAAACAAACTTATTTGCGCATGTCAGAAATCTTTGCTTGCTATTCAAAGTTTAGCTTGCGACTCTCACATGAGCCTAAAATCAAAACCAAAGATTTCTGATGTGTGCAAATAAAAGTTTATGTTTGCCCCTTCATTAATGACATGCTTTTATTGGACAGAATAATTCAGGATGAGTTATTTTTAATTCTAAATGAATATCCTTGTTAGACTTTTATTTAAATTATCCTTCAAGATACATTTACCTAACGCCAGAATAAATGCAATGTACATCATTCACCAAAGAAAATTAGAAAATTGGACAGATATCCATAATGGAGATGATGATGTGTCCCTATTGCATAATACTGAAGAGTGACTGCTGTCATTAACAATACAGGGAAGTTTTTTAGTTATCTTGCTTTGCTAGCAAAGTCATTAGCTAGCAGCTAGCTCATAGCATAACAACAACAGCGTAATGTCTGATGATAAAAATACTGGATCGATAGATTAGAACAGCTTTTCCTCACCTGGCTGCCTCTTCCCGCTCAGTAGATATTCAGAGAAAGGCGGACTTAGAGACTTATATTTTCCTCTTGTTATATTTCATTTCTGCTTAAACCGCGACTCCGTGCTGAAGGAGAAACGATACAACATTTAACGTTTTCCGTTATCTGACAGTAGCAAGCCGACTCCAGTGTTTTTCACCCAAAAAAAATTTTTTTTTCAGTTCACCAAAAACTGTTTTGGAATCTGGAACGTTCGCTAGCTTGAGCTGCGCAGTTAGCCGCCTCATCTCACCGCGCGAGAGGCAAGTGCGTCGTGCGTCACAGGCAAAAGGTCAAAGGTAACAATGTGACCGGAGGGCTTATTGTGTTGTTTTTCTTGCAAAGTAATAATAATAATAATAATAATAATAATAATAATAATAATAATAATAATAATAATAATAATAATAATAATAATAATAATAATAAATAATGATAATAAATGTAGTACATGTGTAAGGAAAAAAAAAAAGACCAAAAGGGCACTTGGGGTCATGGAGCAAAAGGGGCAGGTGCTCAAGGCCTCATAGCCCCCCCTCTGCACGTGCCTGTCGGTTCTAGTTTACCAGTGACAACAATTCGCAATATAACAAGATGTTTGTTCGTCCCCGCTTCTCATCCTCACAACAAATCCCCACCGATCTGCGACACCAGACTTACATACAGCCTTACTTTTAATTCAACAAGAATTTGAATCTCGGTTGTGTTCAGGCGGGCAACGACGGCCCTCCAGATATATAGAAAAGAGAGTCATTTACTACAATCTGATTTTTTAAAAATTGCAGCACAACAAATGTGGGAAAAAAAACACTAAATAAGTTCCTGGAATTTATTTTCAGGCTGCAGTGATTCTCATTTTGAAGTCATTTCAATGTGTTGCAATGAACAGCTTGGAAGATTTTTTTCTAGAGGTAGAAACACCTGAAAATAGCTCAGTCGGGGGACACCTCGTTGACCTCGGAGGAGAAGAAGAAGACAAGTCAAGAGAAGCTGTTGCGCTGTCCGACCCCATCGTCTGGGCAAGCTCAAATCAGGAGACAAACAGAAACAGGAAAACTTGCCAGAATGCGCAGAGTTATGGATAAGAAATCTAAACACGCTTTGTCCAGTTATTGGAAGAGGAAACAGCCTCTGATCGCTGCGTCTCATGCCGGCCAGAGTAACGCAGAGTTTGACGTTTTCTCCTGGTAGCTCTTTGTGTTCTTTAAGTGTTTGTGTTCTGTGTTCTGTGAGGTGAGGTTGCTGGGGGCACAGGAAGGAAAAGGGTGTAGCTGGGAAATCTCATCAAGGCTCCTCAGGGAAAGAGAGACACCCCAGTCAGGATCTGGGCGTTGCTGCTAAATCCTATCGCCGTCTCCGGGATGAAACACACAGAGGGAGGCCCGTTGTCTCTCAGAAAGCCACGCTTTGAAAGAAACGCGTCCAAGACGCAGGCCTCGAACCATTTCGCCGTGTCGAGCTGTGAGTGGCTCCGCTCCTTTCCTTGTTCAAGACCGGCACCCCCCCACCCGCCCGCATGTCCGTTTCTGGTGATAAGAGTAACAACATGAGTTTGCTGTGTTCACTTCATTTGGCGAAAATGTGTTTAAAGATTTAATAAATTTATTCCTCGTTGGTTAGGAACCAACTGATAAACTTTTTAGTCAGTCATATTTTACAATATAAAGATATTGTTTATGTAAAAATACTGAAAGTAATGTTTAAAGCATTGAACAAAAGTCTCCCTTCAGGTGTTCAGAAATGATTTAAGTTAAGAGAGAATAAATATTAATTTGCGAGGTTTGTTTATGTTTGAATGTGCAAAAGAGAAGAGCCAGATAAAGTCCAGATGTGTTTCAGTTATTGGTGTGAAATTGTGGAATGAACTAAGTGATTAATTTTAGTTATGTTCTTTCTTGGTGAACTTCAAAAGAGCTTTAAAATGTAAAATGATAACATCTTACGCTATTATTTAGATTTATATATGTATTGTGAAAATATCCTGTTAGGTCATAGGGTAAAAAAAAATAGGGTAGGGAAGAATGGTAAAAATAATTTAAAAAAAAAGGAATAGGATAGTTTACAAAAATTAAATAAATGAATGAATGAACCTGCATGGAGTTCAGAGATGACATCTGAGGTGCATCTGAATTTAGAAACGATCCCTTGTTTTCACTCAAAAAAACATCCCTGTTTAATCGTAGCACTTTTTTGTAAACATTGCATTTAGCTTGCCAAGTGTCAACCATTTTAAGAAGCTGACAAGAAGTAGGTAAGTTGGCATGACTTTCTGTATTAAATACTCATATTTACTTTCAGCGAGATCTTTTTAAAATTGAAAACATTTGATAGAGCAACAGTGGATCCCAAAATGTGGGTTCGCAGCTGAAAGTCCCGAGGCCTAGTCAAAGTCCAGGTTTTGAGCTCATTGACTGATTCAAGCGTCTCAGTGGATCAATAGTGTTAGGGTTGTGTGTTTCTCAGCTGTCCCGTTATATTTGGAGGAAGGAAGTTCAATAATAAAACAGCCGGCGTACGACGCGTCTTTCACCGACACAAACGAGCGTGTCCTTCGCACTGCAGGTGTGCGGCTCTGGAAACCGGCTCTGTCCGGTTCGACGTTTTCACCTGTCTGATTTTCCACAAACGAAAATAGAAACGGCGGCTAAAACTGGCCGCCTCCGCAGCTGCGCGAGGGGAGCGAGGGCCGACCCTGAAACATGTGTGGCCTGAACTTTGACTCTTTCTCTTCCTGGAAAAACGCCTCTTTTCTGACTTCTTTTTTATTTTGGTGCTTTTCTCACACACCCGTCTCACGCAGGGCAAGAAGACAGTGACCCGTTAGACATTTATTTCTTATTTATTTGTTGCAGTTCAAATAAAGTCATCGTGCGTCTTCACAACTGTACTGCGTTCAACTGAGCAAATTGCCTTTTTCACCTGGAAAATCAAGTGAAATCACTAATAATAATAATAACACAAAATAATAAGACTTTGTCTCCCCCTAGTGTCAAAAGAATTGCATTACGTTCACTGAAAAGTAATACTGTTTTACCATTTACAATCACGTGTTGCATTTACACCTTTTTCAAATGACTGTTTTGCACAGATATCAATAATTTAATTCTTTATTCCGTGGAAAATTAAGAGCTACGGCTATCCTACGTCCACTCTTCCTTTATCCGAGCGTTTAGAAAAACTGTGGGCGTTTCTTTTTAAAGCCCGCTCCGCCGGTTTACCATCCGTCTACACATCTTTGCGGTACAGGTTCCTTTCCATGTACTGAAAACTGGAATAAATATCACGAGTGTCCTTCCGTCACCGATGAGGAAAGGCAGAGATGAAACAGGTAGCTTCTATACCCTCTTTCTGAAAGAAAACCGACAGCGTCCGTCTTTGCCGTTTTATGAGAAGCACACCGGCCCGATGTCCAGACCGAACTCTTGGTCGGCCGTCCCGACGTCCATTGGGGCCAAGTCCACGACGGGGAGCCTGGTGGTGGTCTGAGTTCTATACTCGATCACTGTCTTGCCCCACTCTCCGTTTAGTTTCTGAGGAAGAAGCGGAAAAGTGAGTGTGTGTGTTTCTCTCTCTCTACGTCAAGTTTTATTTGCGTCTGGTTGAATGACTCCAAGGCTTACCGAGCAGCCGTCCTCGATGACAGAGTATCTGAGCCGGCTGTTGCCCTGCGCCCTCATTTCTTGTCCGTTGGCGCCTTTGAGGACGAGAGCCTTCTTAAAGTTGCCGGCCTGCTCGTCCTTAAAGGCCACGCTGTTCCGGCAGTGATACGTGACGTTCTGGTGCGACTCCTTCGACAAAAGCTGCAGCAGCTTCATCTGGACCGCCACAGCGTTGGGCTGCTCCTCCTTGCCGCCGTAGAAGAACTGAAACGAGAAGACCGAATGTCACGGAATTTGAAAAGTTGAGCGGTTTCCTCGCCGAAGCTTTTCTCGTCTTCTTACTTTGCCTCCGCCGCTCATATCGGCGCCAAACCAGATGGGTTTGTTGGGGCTTGGGGTGGATTTCGTCCACCAGGCTTTGCGGGGAATGCTGGCCGGATTGGCAGGAATGCAGGTCTCACCGGTTTCCATGTTGCACAACACTCTGATGGCGTCTTTGGTACTTCCTTGATTCGGATCCAACCAGTATTCACCTGCAACGAATGAAATGAGACGGATCGGGTCGTGCGACGCGGTTTTAAAGTAAGATTATGAGTAAAAAAATACACATTTTCAAAAGCAAGCGGCGTGACCCTGACCGCTCCTTTTCTGAGGATAGCAATGCCTGATGTCCTGGCAGGTCTTGGCAGGGTTCATCTTGCTGCCGTCTGGACTGCGCAGGTTCTGCAAGTGTCCGTCGAGGGTCTTCAGCGTGGCTCGGACCCCCGTTTCGGCGCCCGAGATGTTGTCGTTGGGCTTCGCTTCGTCCTTGTTGAACTCTGGCGGAGGAGGAGGATCGGCGGCGGCGGCGTCGTACTCGCCGAGCTCCGCCGCGTCCAGAACTTCGCCGTGAGCGTCGTACTCGACGGCGTAGAGCTCCTCCGCGGCCGCTGTGGGAGGACCCGGAGGCCCCGGAGGACCGGGCGGCCCGGGTTCTCCGGCAGGACCCTGAAGAAAAACCAGACGGGCGTTTTCACGAGGCTGAACTCGAATGAAACGAGTCGGATCCAGACGAGAAAACGCTCCCGGGTCGGACTTCAGATGAAACGCGTTGCGTCACCTGAGCTCCGAGGTCTCCTATGGATCCTCTGCTGCCTGGAGCCCCCGCTGGTCCCGGCTGGCCAGCGTTTCCTTCCTTTCCCGGAGGACCCACCACTCCAGGAGGCCCCTGTATGTTTTGGAGACATGCTGCGGTTTTATGCTAACTCGTATCAGTAACGTGGTCGTGTTTCACTCTCGTTTTGTTTACCCTTTGTCCGGCTGGTCCGAAAATTCCTCGAGCTCCCGCATCTCCTGTGGCTCCCTGAGTTAGAAAAGATCCCGTTTTGATTAGCCTCGCTGTTTAGCAAAGTTCAATTCAGAGTATTTTTAACGAGACCGTTTTGTTCTGTAAACTTTGAAAAACGTTCTCACGGTTATTCCGGGGAGGCCTTGGAGTCCGGTAAAGCCTCTGTGACCCTTCTGGCCCCTCTCGCCGGGTTCTCCGGCTCCTCCTTTGTCCCCCTGTGGTCCTTGAGGGCCCTTTGAGCCGACGACATTTCGTTACGTCAGACAAAAAAAGACACATGGGAGTTGTAAACAGCTAAAGTTTTTTCAAGCGTTTCATGCGAAAAGCCCATCTTACCACTTTTCCCCGTACACCGGGCTGTCCCTGTGGTCCGGGGGGTCCTCTGGAACCCTAAATTCGCCAAGAGACGATAAAAGGCAGCGGATCAGCAATTTTAACACGCGACACGGGATCTAAGCTGGTTGTAAAGCTCACGGTTTCTCCTCTTTGGCCGGGACCGCCGATTGTTCCCGCCGGTCCCTCGTTTCCCGGAGACCCCGGCCCGCCAGGCAGGCCTTCGGGACCCGGGTTCCCCTTGTCGCCCTAAAGACGCGCAAACAAAACGTGACTTTATGCTTGTGTTCGTATAACCCAAGAAGACGCACTAGCAGAAACAAGTGTCTTTATTCTCACCCTTTCTCCTACGAGGCCGTCTTTACCGGGAGCCCCCTCGGCTCCAGCGATGCCCTGGACAACGACGCGAAGAAAGAAAAAACATAACGTACGTCAGCGGGAAAAAAAAGTGCAGAAAAGCTACAAAAAAATAAAAATGTTTTAACTCGCAAAAACATTAACTATGTATGAAATTTTAATGTTTCTACAAATCAAGTACAAATGTTGACAAAAGTGAGAAATTAAAAAAAAACAACACAAAAACAAAATCTTTGCTTACCTTACGTACCTCATTTGACTTATTGAGTGGAATGTTTTGGGAAAATTAAAATACAAAAATCGCTACATCAAGTATTAGGTGGGAACAATAGGAATCCATTGCTTTTGAAATCAGATTGTGAGATGTCAGTAGTTTTGTTTTTGATTTTGTACTTTTCGTCCGCTCGAAATACATATGTAACTTCTATAAAAAACACCAGAAAAGAGAAAAGACTGAACAAACCTCAGGACCGGGATCGCCTCTCGGCCCCGTGGATCCGGGTAAACCGACCACACCCGGAGGACCGTTGGTCCCCTGAGCACCGGGAGCTCCCGCTTTTCCAGGCGGACCCTGACAGACGAGTTACTCGCGTTTACGGTCGGAATCACAGAAATAACCGCCTTGTTGTGGCGGCTACCGGAGAAGGAGGGATGTGAAGAAAAGAGCAGCGGCAGTACGTACCGCAGGACCGGGCAGTCCGAGCGAACCTCTCTCCCCTCGGACTCCGGGAAGACCCACCCCTCCTCTCTGTCCCGTCGTCCCTGCCGGTCCCGGAGGTCCGTCGGGGCCCTGAGGGACAGAAGTGACGGTGTCTCATTGTCGGAAATGTGAGTCTGATGAGAAAGAGCTTCGTTTCGTCTTACCGGAGGGCCGTCCTCTCCTGGTCCTCCCTTCTCTCCTGGGCTTCCCGCTGGTCCCGGCGGTCCGTTCTCTCCCTGACGGCCCGGAGCGCCGTTTTCTCCTCCGATCCCTGGAGGGCCCTTCTTTCCGGGAGCGCCCACGGGGCCGTCGGCTCCAGTCGCACCCTGAAACGCAAATCGGTTTTGGTTTCCGCAGTGATTGCTGTTGAGTAAAAACCCAATGTCGGGGTATCTAACTCACAAGTGAACCCGGAGGTCCCACTTTTCCAGGCAGTCCGGGAAAACCGGGAGACCCCTGCGTGAAGAAGTCGTTTCGATTACGACGTGCTTTTAGCGCGCTTTAGCTGCAGAGTTAGACAGGTTAAAAGTTCTCTATAACTGGACAGCTATTACTCACAGCTGGACCTTGTGTTCCCCGACCTCCTTTCAGCCCCGCGACACCAACGGGCCCCTTAGCAGATGAAAGTCAAAAAGGATGTTTATCAAAATGCAACTTCAGACATACAAAATTTTCATTGGACGTTTTGCACCTGTTCACCCGGCTTCCCGGCCGTGCCCTGAGGTCCGGAAGCTCCCGCTTCTCCTTTAGGTCCTGGTTCTCCTGTTTCACCTTTGACTCCTGGCTGGCCATCTTGACCCTAAAAAAAAGGAAGCAAACCACAAAATCACGGATTCTGTTCTTATTTTTTTTAAATTCGTGTTCTAGTGTTTCACAGGATTCTTACAGACGGTCCGGGAAAACCAACTGCCCCGGTTGGACCGGGCTCTCCGCTGGAACCCTGTCATTCGATCAAGCAAATATTAAAACGCTATCGTATTCAAACATAAAACTGATGGCTAAGCTGTTCAAGAGTTTCTACTGACAGGGATTCCCCTGGTGCCACGGCGTCCCGTTGGTCCCGGTGGACCGGTTTCACCCTGAAGAAACAAAATGCAGCTTCTGAGATCACATCGTTACACCTGTGTCTAGAAACTAGACTAAAAAATTTGTGCTGTCAGCTTACCTTTTCTCCATTTGGCCCACCTGGACCAGCAATTCCAACTGGACCAGCGAGCCCCTTTAAAAAATGTGGATACAATTAAAGACATGTAAATATTTCTAATTGGACACCATTTAGCCACCGACTTTGGACCTACCCTTGCACCGTCAGCTCCTGCCTTTCCTTCTGGTCCCTTCTCGCCGACAGAGCCCTGTCAGTGCAAATCGGCGTAAAAGTCGTTTGTCGTTTCCACATTTTCCCGATGGGTTATTTGCTTCTTTGCCAACCATACGGTCTTATTCGTTAACTTACAGGGTCTCCTTTTGGTCCGGATGGTCCTGAAATACCTCTCTCCCCTGGCATCCCTTGAAGTCCTGGACCACCTGGCTCTCCAGCAGCCCCCTTTGAACCTGGGCTACCCTAAAGTGTAAAACACGCACCAACATTGTGACCTAAGGCTGCACAATATACCATCGACATGGTACAGATCGACTTGGAGCAGTCTAACTTCGGAAATTGGTCTCTGTCTCTTTAAGAAGATCCTTGTTATGCTTTCTTGACACAAACCAAACTCACAGAACAGTTTGCTACCAAAAGTTCTACCGAACAGGTCAATCACTGTGCTTTGATTGATCAGAGTATGTTTGTAGGACGAACGTTTACGGGTTCAGTAAAAGTCCTGATCACAACGATACCTTGGGACCGTCTGATCCCGGTGCTCCCGGACCGCCTTTTGGTCCCTGAAGCCCGTTGGGACCGGTTTCTCCTCTTTCTCCCGGCGCTCCTCTTTCGCCCTTCATGGAAAAGGTCAGATAACAGAACGTTCATGGATGCCACGGAATAACGGATTGAAGCAATCGGCAGAATCGGTGGACTCACTCTTGGACCCGTCTCTCCAACAGAGCCGGCTTCACCCGCCAGACCCTGTAGGAAAAAAAAAATACAACAGTAAACGCAACGGTTTTGGTCTTGGTTTAGATTAGCGCTAATACTAATTTAGCGGTAGTTCCTTTTACCTCGTCACCTGGCTTTCCTGCCTCTCCAGGGGGACCTGAGGGTCCAGGTAAACCCTAGGAAACATCAATCTCACGTTCATTTATCATTGACAACAAAAAAAGACACAACGGAACATTGCAAAAGTCAATAGACCAAAAGTGATGCAAGCGACTTTGGATCAAAATCTACTAGCATAAAAAATTGGCTTTGGATCATCACAACACAAAGGACTAAGAGCTAAGTTCTGTTTATGCTTTTATGTCATTTACCTGGAAACCGGTCTGTCCTTGAGGTCCTTGCTCTCCTCTCGTTCCTGCAGGGCCCTAAAGAATAAAGAAAGATTGGCTAAATCACGAGAATCCTTAGTTTCAATCTAGAAAAAGGAGATGGAAGCTTACAGCTGGACCAGGTGGACCAGCAGCGCCAGTCTCTCCATCTTTTCCATTTGCTCCCTGGAACACAAAAGAGCTCATTGAAGGATCTGTGAAGCATACATAAGTATGGCTTTTTGGCCCCTAGCTCCGTACCCTTTGACCCGGAGCGCCAGGACTTCCAGCTTCTCCGGCTTTTCCAGCGTCGCCCTACAAACGAGTCAAATGTTTATCAGCAAGTTCCTACGACGCCTAATTCCGGAACCCGTCTGACTTACTGCGAAGCCCTTTGGTCCCGGCAGACCCATGGTTCCGGCACCACCCCGGGTCCCCACAGAACCGGCCGGGCCAGGTTTGCCGTCCTCTCCGGCCAAACCCTAAAAACACGAGGGCGAACGTAAAAACTTTGCGTTGGGAAAACAATAAAGGCACTGGGGCATCGCAAGACTGTGTCGTAGCGAGATCTTGAGGAGAGTTGGGAAATGGGGCTCACCATTGGACCCTGCCTTCCTTCTGCTCCTTGAGCACCAATCGGCCCCGAGAGACCCTGGGAAAAAAAGGCAAATAAAATGTTGTGTGAAAACACAAACTTTAGCCTACGTCTTGGAAGTTTATACGACGGAACGATGCAAACTTGGAACAAATGCGTCATTTGCATGTAGCCCTCTTTCTTCTAATACTTCTAAATAAAATCAAATTCTGCCTACTGCAACTGTTCCACGGCTAACATGAAAAAGAGGGTGTGTAATGTATTCAGACTTGGCTTTAAAATGTACTACAGCATAAACAAAAACCATATTATGTAATAATCTGCATCCTCGAATGCAATACGTTCTTGAAACGATGTGTTTTTTTAAATTTTGTGTATGTAAACTTCTGGTTTCACCCATCGATGGTTCGATTTGCATTGACTTTTTGGTGTTTACATATTTTCCTTTTAAATTTGAATTGGAAGAAATGTCGGAAAATTTATCAGAGATGTCGCTTTACCCGTGCTCCCGTTAGTCCTGGCTCTCCGTTGCGTCCCGGGTCTCCCAGAGAACCTTTGATGCCGGGCGATCCTGGCAGTCCTCTCTCACCCTGGGCCCCCTGTTTGAGCAAGAATCAAATTTTTAAAAGCCCAGCAATCTGCTATGATAAATCCAATTAGCAACAAACGTATTTAATACCTTTTGTCCTGGTAAACCATCTGCACCGGGAAAACCTCGGTTTCCTGGTGGCCCCTAAAAAGCAAAGTGCCGAAAGTTGCACCGTATGTCCTGTAAGTTTTCATGGCTGACATCGTTAAGTGACTCACCATCTCCCCCTGTGGTCCTGGAGACCCGATGGTTCCCCCATCTCCTCGGGGGCCACGCTTTCCATCCTCACCCAATGGACCGATTGGCCCTGGAACACCATGGTCGCCCTGCCACCAACGGGTTAGTCAATACATCAGTCAGAACAAAAGAAAAGTTTTAAGATGAGGTTTTTATTGACCCTTTTTGTCAGCTTTTTTTGATGAAAAGTTGCTGTCATTTGATAATCTGGATAGCCGTTAAATGGTCGTTTGCTGACAAAAATGACCATTTTCAGTCATTTTCTAAATTAGTTCAAGATTATTTGAATAATCGGTTCATCACGGTTAATGTGATTAATCGTAGGGTCCGGTCACTCATGTATCTAAGAGTTAAGGTCTTAGTTTCTTACTTACTCTTTCTCCTTTAAGCCCAGCTTCTCCTTTAAATCCCGGGAGTCCAGCATCACCCTGTTAAAGCAAAGACCAAAATATTTCAATGTTCAGGGTCTGGCCAAAGTTGGAAATTTAATAAAGTTCCTACCAGTTGGCCTTTTGGTCCTGGTGCTCCTGTGGTGCCCTGGGGCCCAGGAGCACCAGCGGGGCCAACCAAACCAGGCGGCCCCTGTAAACCCGCTACACCCTGTGGAGAAGAAAACAAGACATGCTCAATAAAAAAAAAGGCATCGACGGTTTGCTAAAAAGGTGGAATGTCTGTTTTGCGTCGTTGCAAAGACTCACAGAGGAACCGCGGGCGCCTGGGGCCCCGTCAGGTCCTGCAGCACCCTGTTTTAAGCACCAAAATGAGTCTTTCAAGTGTAAACAAGAAACCAACAAACAAAGTTGGTACTGGTATCAGATTTGGACTCACCTGCTGTCCGGTTGGTCCGGGTGGTCCGACACGTCCGCCGTCCCCCCTGGCTCCCTGCTGCCCTCGACTCCCTCTGACTCCTGTGGGTCCCGCTTCACCCTAACTCCCAGAGATCAATCGGGTCATGAATATTTCAGGAAATTGTAAAGGATTCCTTCCTGATTTGCTGCCATACCTGGCCTCTAAAAGTGACCGACTGTAAAGACTTTTGAAAAGTGAAGCTAAAACCAGAGCAGAGGCATTGTGTCTGTTCTTAAAATGACATCGATGTAAAGGTGTAAAGAATCTCACCTTCATTCCTGGACTTCCTGGGAATCCTGGCATACCGGGAATTCCAATTGGACCCTGTAGTTGGATTAGATGATTTTAACTTCACATTCTGTGCAAATTGAACCTTATCAGAGAACAAAACCAATGAGAATATTTTGTCTCCGCTGGACCGATAGCGTACAAACGCACGCTTACAACAATTACTATCAAACGCAAATAATCAATGTCGTTCTTACCAAAGGACCGGGTTTGCCAGGATGGCCATTAGCACCACGTTTACCCTGACAGAAAAAATAGACCGTTAGCTTTCGCTCTTTGACATTTCGATACTTTGACATCAAGTGATTGGTTTGCTTCATTCTTACCAAAGGACCAGTGGGTCCAATTCTGCCTCTTTCTCCTTGCAAACCAGGAGGACCCTGAAACAAAAGAAAGATTTACTGGGACGCTGCTTTCCACTCTCCGTTTCTCCTCTACATCTTAATATAAGTCAGACACGGGAACACTGGCATTATTGGTACGGATTGAATTTGAATGGATTTATTGCTTACCGCGGGTCCTGGAGCGCCCATTTGACCGGCAGTACCAGATGCACCCTAAAGTCAACAGAGATGCAGGTATAAAATGTCGAGTTTGTAGAACTGATTGTAACATTTATCCATAACTTTTTGATTTCTGGTTAATTCACAAAGCGTTGCAGGTGAACTTGTGCTTCTCTCTAACAATCAGCTTGTGGATAAACCTTAAGGAACCTTTTTCCAACCCCAACTTGGTGGTCTTTTGCCTTTATTGTCTAAGGGATACCTCAGAATTCTCTCAGGTGAGATGTAGTTGTTGACTTAGGGGAGGGAAGTCTGTGATCTTAAATGGATGAATTAATTTTTCATTCTTTTTGGATAGTTCTGTATCAAGATAATGTCATACCTTGGCTCCGACTGCCCCAGACTCGCCTTTCGGTCCTGCAAGACCACCGTGTCCCTGTTGGAATTAAAGTTCTGCTTAGTTTTGAATCCATTTCAATAGAAGTCGACGGCAAACAAAAGCTTGAAATTTTCTTTACTTTGGGGCCTTTTCGTCCTGGAAGACCTGGAAGTCCTGGGAATCCTCTTGCACCCTGAATTCAAACCAAACCATAACTTGTCAAAATCCCCCGTTAACTGTAAAATGCCACGGATCCACTTATGTTATCGTAAGTAAATCTATTACCGGTGATCCTGAAAATCCTGGTTCTCCGGTTGCACCGGCAGGCCCAGCCTCTCCCTGCCCATAAAAAAAGTGTAAAAAAAGTGAATCTTGAATGTATTTTATCAGATGACTAAAACCGAGGATGTATGTATTTCTGACTCACGTCGGGTCCTGGTTTCCCTGGAGGTCCGTCGGGTCCTCGATGACCTGGCTCACCCTGTGGAATATTCAACATGCTGTTACATCCAACTGCAGTCGCCCGCCACCGCGATTTACGTGACAAAGGAGTCGCCCCACCATTGGTCCTGGGTCTCCGTGTTCTCCGGGAATTCCCTGACCGCCGGTTGCGCCCTAACGTAAGACGTCAAAAGTTAAAAACATCTGAAATTTGCATTAGTTTGCAAAAACTAAATTCATTCTCATATTTTTGGGTAAGAGCATAAAACCCACTGGAGGCCCAGTTGGTCCAGGAAGTCCTCGTGGTCCTGCTTCACCCTGCAACAGCAAAGGTTTAATTCTCAGGTGATGAAAAACATCTTGACTTTACGCTTTCTTTGCAAACCTAAAACACACTCACCCTCGCTGCGGACACCATTGGAGCAAAACCTGACTTCTCACTAAAACCAGCCATCTGCGACATCAAGTTTCCCTTAAGGAGAAACGAGTCAACGATTACCTCCAGAAACAGATTTTTTAAGCCTTTTTCTCAATAATACGTTAGAAAGTGCTGAGCAGATATGAGAGTTCTCACCCCGGGAGGAGAGGGATCCCCGGGGGGACCAGGTTCTCCTGGATTTCCGGGGACACCGGGCTCACCGTCAAACCCCGGGGGTCCAGTGAATCCCTACAAGTTTTGTCATGACATAGAGAGTGAATGTCATGATGAAGTTCAATTTTATCTCATTGCATTGAGTATCTCCTTAACTGTCATTTCTATTTGTTTGGTTTTGTTTTACGCTATTAGCATTCGCATTAACATTTTGCTAAAGTAAGAATAAGAAAAAAAAATCTAGTACCTTGTAGGACTTTAGTACTGCGCGTGCTGCGGATTACTTTCATATGTTTTCAAGGTAATAGATTTTGAAAAACGCTTCTAATAAAAACTAAAATCTGCTTCCAATGACAACACATTTTGATAATGTCACTACACTAGATAACTGATTACATTCAACATAAATTATGTGGTAACTTTACTTCATAGTTATGAAGTAAAGTATGGAAAATAATAAAGTCATGACCTCTTTATCACTTATGATAAAGAGTTCAGGTGTAAAAAGTCTTGGAGTGGAGAAGACTGCAACACATAAAACTGAAACAGAAATAATCGGAAGCTTCGGGATTAAATTGTACACGTCGTCTCAAAAGAAAAACTTTCTTCAAAACTCACCCGTCTGCCCTTGAAGCCTCTTGGTCCTGTTCTTCCCTGCGGTCCCGGGGGGCCCTAAACAATGAGATTAGGTTAGCTTGTACACTTTTTTCCCCTCCACTTTATGAAGAAAAAAAAACACAAAATAAGGATATAAGAGAGAAGTCATCTATCCCAAATTAGCTGAGTGATATTTTGTGTGGCTATTGCGAAGAAAAAATCACGTCTCCTTTAAGAAAGTTTTCATCCAATGCCACTTCTAACTTTGTTTTCTTTTGTCCCACCCTCTGTTTTTGGGTTCGAGAATCTAAACACCAAGGCGAGGATTCGAACGCAGGAACTTCTTTCTGCACAGCAAGACGGCGCAATAAACCTACATCGCATAGGAGTTTTATGTCATCGTTTTAATTACTGCGATAAACATTTGAATGCTTTTCACCTTTATTGAGATGCACATGTTTGTAGTTTTAAGTTCATTTTATTGGCTGGAGGGCCTCGGAAAAGATCACAAATAATCACCTTAGCATCTGCTTCTGTTGTGTTCATTAGAGCGGCCCCGCAATTCATCTGAACATTAGAGGGCGCCAAATATAACCAATGCAACTACTTGAAGGTTAAATATATCAAAAATGTTCTGTTTTTATTTTCTTAGATTTTGTGTTTATTTGATTTTGTAATGCGTACTGGACTTTACTGAAGACCTTGTTCTGAATTGGGAAACCTTTGGCAAAAGCAGGTTACCCACCATTGGTCCCTGCTGTCCGGGGTTTCCCACAACCTGAAGAACGAGCAGATCATCATTATCTCTGGATGGGAAGCTTCAAAAATGATGCGCAAAATTTTTTTTCCACATTTTATACTTACATACGGTATGTCGCCCGGTTCCCCTTTCTGTCCCTGTGAAGGATACAAAATAGCTTGTTGGTTGTGCTGCCATATTTTTCCTCTCATAAATAAAAGTGTGTGAATAAAACAGTGATTTACCTTGAAACCCAGAATTTCTTGAATATATAAAAGAAAAAGAGACAATTATCACAGAGTTGATTTCTACTGAGGCAATTTAATTGGCTGTCAGAAAAAATGACCTCACCGATCCTCCTGCCGGCGCTGGCGAAGCTGTCGCACACGGGGCAACATTCCCCCTCGGGGGTGATGACCTTCTCGCAGTTCGCCAGCGGCTCGCACTGAATCTCGTCGCAGATGGAGACGCCGTTGTCGCAGACGCAGACGCGACAGGGTGCGGGTTTCCAGATGTCGTTGTGATGGTAGACCTCCCCGTCGACTTGGCAGTTTTCTGATTTCTTCTCATCGGCGGCTGCGGCACAGAGAAGAAAAAACAAAAAAAGGAACATGAAAATTGTCACTGCAAAATGTAACAATGTCATCCACGGTCGATTCTTTAGTAGATAGCAGTCTTTTCCTGAACTTACAAGTTCCTTTACAGAGACAAAGTTGTACTTTCTGAAATTGACTGCACATTTCCAAGAGCTTTTTAGGAAGATCTGAGCACTGATGTTTCGTCAGTCACCCAAAGTCAAATCCAGCTCCGTGCTACAGATCCGAGCAGCAATTTCAAGGAAATCGTCACCGTCTTCAACGTCACGACTATTATTATAGCGTAATCAATCACAATTGATCGCCGTCTTCTTCTCGAGCAACCGTCTACTTGGTACAATCGCTTTTGTGTTTGGTCAGATTCTGGTAAATTACCTGTCGTTGGGTCGGTGTTGGGTGAAAACGTTGAAGGCACACTTAGGCACACAGGACAGCATTCACCACTGGGGATCATCGTTTTCTGGCAATCGCCGAGGTTCTCGCACACCACATCTTCACACACGACGGTTCCCATGTCGCACACGCACAGCCGACACGGCTCTGGGTTCCACATGTCCGTATTGGCGTAGACCTTCCCATTTTCTGTGCAGGTGTCTTAATTTAAACACATAAAAATTTGGGTTATTGATCCAATTGTTTTAGCTGCACTTGGTACCGCCTACTTGACAACACAATTTAAAACTAACACAAACAGATTTTATTTTTGTTGATGTTTTGGCAGATATTGAGTCGAACTGGTTTTCCAGCTCAAATACATGGTGAGCAAAAATAGCCACCAAGAAAATGCAAGCGTGCAGTGAGTTTGAATCTGAAATTCAAATTGCTTGCTGCCAAAAAACCCTTGCAAACAAACACAGAAAAACCATGCGTATTTTGCTGCTTTATTCAAAATCTGTTTGTTAAATACTCACAAAGGCAAAAAAAAAAAAAAAAAAAACTGAAAAATTATGAGTTTTACAGAATCTCATCATAACAGAGAGGCAACAATTTCCCTGAGGAATACACCTTATTCTGTAAGTAAGTTACTTGCTCAACATGACGTGTGAACATGTTGAGAAGTGAGCTTATCTCGTCGAAAGTTTATGTATTCCATCTGCGACCTGAAAAGAAGCACTGTTGGAGGGAAATTCAGACCGCAGCGCAAAGATTTGAAAAACAACAGTCCACAATGGTGTGTGTGCACAAGGTGACGCCTGAAGCGTCACCTTCAGGCCTGAAGCGCCTGAAGCGTCATCTTCAGGCCGAGACAGAGACCAAAAGGCACCACCGGCCACGGAGCGCACAAACACCGCGTCGCAGAAGTCGACGTCAACGACCAGAAACAAATCTGCGGCTCACGCTTGCAGTTTACCAGTTTTTGCGTGGGGCTGCTGCTGTTTCGCGGCCGAGCACACCGGGCAGCACTCGCCCTCCGGGATTTCTGTGGCCTGGCAATCCCCTACGTCCTCACAAACCACGTCCTCACACAACACCGTCCCTTTCTCGCAAAAACACACCCGACAGGGCTCTGGGCTCCATATCAGATCGTTGGGGTAGGTTTTGCCATCCATCGAGCAGGAATCTTTGTGAGGAAGAACAGCAACGGGCATCAGTATGGAAAGCTGCTCTGAGACGATAAAGACATAGCTTTATGTATTGCAGTTTCTCGGTTAGGTTCTGAAACCTATACAGTTTGGGCAGGTCACATTGCCTGGAAAACAAATGTGGTGTTAGCGAGGTCAGAAAATGTATGATTCGGAAAGTTCACGATATATGGACAAAAATGGACATGCATACAAAGTTCTTTGTGTTTAGGCAAATGTAGCTTAGATTAATTGAAAAACAATGATTTCTAGGTTCAAGGGATCAGCTTACTTTAGGCAGAAAACATAAGGGTTAGCTAAAGAACAAAAAGTTCATACTACCTAGAAAACATCTTTGATTAAGTTCATGAAAAATACTGTCTGAAACTGGAAAACAATAGCCCTTCGATGAGTACTTAGAAAAGGTACTAGGTGCTACTTCACTAAGCTTGCTCACCAAAGTGACAAGAGGTATTCATATTTGTCTAGCTGATGCTATCTGGAAAGCAAAATTCAAGTTAGCACAAAAAATTAGCTCAATTTGGGTAAATGTATAATTTAACCAGCTCACACTAGCTAAAAATAAAAATGTTAGCTCAAAAATAACAACAAAAAAAAAACTCAAGTTTGTGGAAACAAAACTGATAATTTTAGCAAGAAAAATTTGACAGATTTTGGGTAAAGGTATAACTTAGCCATGTCACGCTAGCTAAAACCAAAATGTTGGATTTGGGTCACTACCTAGAATCTAAACAGTCTGTGAAAGTTTCCGTATGTTAAACCAAAACCAGAAGTTCGATCCTAAGTAAAAACGTAGTATTGAACATAACCTATGGGAGGTTCTGTTTCAAAAAACTTCAGCAAGGATTTTATAGGACAATGTTGAAATGAGTTATACAATTTACAAAACTGTTTTATGTGCCATTTTGGGGGGTTTCCAGGAAATAAATACGAAAGGTAACGCTCTTATTTCCGCTTTTGGTCTCACACACACACAAAAAAAACAGTCATTTTGATACATCGTCTATTTGCAGAGCTAGAATTATTTGTCTTTTAATCGGATCACCGAAACATCAGTTCATAATATTTATTACCAGTGTTATCGTCCAAGAAAGGAGAGTTTGGTTTGTTGGCCGAGCACACAGGGCAACACTCGCCCTCGGGGACCTCGGTTGTCTCGCAGCCCCTTTGCTCTTCACACACCAATTCCTCACACACCACAACTCCCGAGTCGCACACACAGACTCGACACGGCTCTGGGGCCCACATTTGATTGTCGTAGTAGGTGGTGCCATTTTCTGTGCAGGTCTCTTCATGGGAGAAAACACCAACCGGATGAGTACTGCAGACGATGCCCTTTCAGTGCGCACAATGCATCGTTGAAGGGAGTTTTGGGAATGCCTTAAGAATAAGCAGTTTTAGCATTGCATCCGTTTGTCTGCGACTTCCTCAATTTTTGTAAGAATTTAGATGATTGGTTCCTAATATTTTGCCATGAAGCTAATTGGATTGTTTGGGTTTTTTATGTGTATGCTTTAAAAAAAATCCTAAAACAACATGAAAACTGAATTCTGCTTGTAGGGAAATTCAATTTCCTTTTTGGCACTTGACCTAATTGGATGCATGAGATGAAGTTATTTTGACACTTTTCAAGCCATAATATGAATAATTCAAAATCATAAGTGCTTTTCCAACTAATACAGAAGATTTTAAGCCACTCTGGTAACAAATTTTACAAATGCATATGGAGGATTTATCTGTAGCAGTCAGCTTAATATGAGACCCATAGCTCAGCAAAACCCACTGGTACCAATCATTTGCTTATTAATAAAATATACCATCTGCAGATTAATTTTAAGACACTTTCAAAACAATTACACCGAAAAGAAAATTGACATTTTTTTTACATTGATCCTATGAATTAGAATCTTTTGCAATGCTTTCTGACTCACTCGTACAATCTAACTGTGTTTTTGATTTCTTTTAGAATATAGTGTTGTAAACACATTTGGCAAGAACAACATTAATGACTTTTTTTTTTCTTTACAGTATTTATACATCCAAACCGGACAGGAAGACCTCATAATGATGCATGGTGGTGACTGAAAGGGACGTGAATGTACTGTGAACCCCAGTAGTGAAGGGTCAGAGTTTACCTGAATCAGCGTTTGCTGTGTGTGTCGGTGGCGGGGTGGAGCACATGGGGCAACACTCGCCTTTTGGAAACACCACCCGCTGGCAGTCTCTGAGCTCCTCACACACATCGTCCTCACACACTGCACGGCCGCTGTCGCACACACAGGTTCGACACAGCGCCGGCCTCCATATCTCATTGTCGGAGTAGACCGTTCCGTTTTCCTGACAGCCGTCTGAGTCAAGCAGAGCAGCAGCCGACATGTTACTCTGCGGAGGTCTGATCCAGTGATGATGATGATGAGGAGGACGACATATTGGAAACTACAAACTTCACAGCTGGTTGTTCAATTTAATGAATCCAAGCAAACAATTGCACATATAATGTTTAGGTAGCAGCTTTTGTATTTCCTTTTTTTATAGTTTTGGGTTTATGTTTTGAACAAACCTGGAAATGAAAGAAAAAGGGGCTGCAGTTTCCCCGTTTGCCCACTAGGTTGCATCAACCGTCTTTTAGGAACAACTGCAGGAACCGGCTGCCTATAAAAATATAACTGGAAATCTCATTTATGTTGCGTGCTTACAATAATGGGGAAAATAGAAAAATGTGACATAGTTTACATTTTTCACACTGTAACTCAGAGCAGATTCACTTTTTGAGACCTAAACCAAAAACTGTTTTTCAGTTTAAGGATATTCTGTCAAATTGGCTAATTTCAAAGAAATACATTTCCATGTTTCGTGAAAGATACCTGTACCCCTTGAGATATTTGACATTTTGTCACATAACAACTACAAACGTCAGTGTTTTTCTTACGTGATAATCTAAAACAAACTCATGCATGATTGTGAAATGGAGGGAGGAAAAAAATGCATATTTGAGGCAAGTCGCTGCTTACCTGCAGAGGTCTTTAATCTAAGCTGACTAGACTGTGGTTCAGTCAACAGCTTTTGGCTGTAAAGTCGTCTATAAATCTATCTGCAGGCGACTGTGCAATTATCCCTTCAAAAGCAATCTCTGCCGACATTTAACGTGAAACGTATATGCTTAGTAATTGGCACGGATTTCACCGTCAGAGTCCTCGCTTCCAACCAGGAACACGTGCTAACAACATATGCAACCAGCTAGCGTAATCGTTAGTTGCATTGCTGTCATTAAGCAAACTGTGTCTTCATCTCTTACTCACATATGCGGAGTGATTTATCATCATCCCACATTTCAAAAATACAGTTTTATTACATTTTGTTAGCATGGTATAGCATGCTTGCACCGTTTGCAGGGCATTGGCTACATTCTGCAGCAAGGGTTTTCTAACAAGACAAAAAGAAAAAAAAAGAAGCATATGCTATTTATGTTTCAGACCGTAATTAAAATACTCCAAAAAAGTAAGGAAACTGTATGATTTATTTATTTATTTTTTGGTTTTAATGAACATGGGAGCCGGGGTTTTCTTTTAATTGTTACTATTTTTGTTGGATTTACGACGGTTTACACATCCGCTGGTAGCAACTTAGAGGCGGAAAACTTTAAGACTCTTTATGTATCTTTCTCAAACACATGGCTGATGTAGCAAGGGGGGAAAACAAATGAGAAAAAAACTACACATAGGAATGTTGCATATCAAAAACCAAACACAAAAACAAAACAAAAACAACAAAATACCAAGGGTTAAATCTCGCCACCTGCTGATGCTGTGGGCTTTCTGACTGCATTTAAATCCACTCATTTTTCTGACGTCGCTAAGCACTAATTATGTGGCGAGGCCTCTCCCCGAGAAAGACGACGGTTTTCAGCAGCTGTAGTTATTTCAGGGGAAACCACTGAGTCTGTATTATATGTTGGGTTTGGGTTAAAACTTGTGGTTTGACTTTATTCGGGACAGCAATGACATACCACACCCGAAGGAAACTCCTGCTTTCAAACCTGCTTCAGACCAAAGGAAAGAGTCACAGGTCGATGTGGAGTGTATTTTTGCAGGAGAGATTGTACTTAAGACAGTCATGCAGCCTTTTAGGTTTTTAACCTTTGTATGTCAAAAACTTTCCAACAATGCACGTGAGCCGTTTTTCAGTGGCACATAATTATAGCTTCAGCTACAGGATAAGCTTGTACTATGTCCATAGTTTATGTCTTTTTACATGTCGGTACAACTGTCCGCCCCCTATGCTCAAATGTAGGTTACAAACATCAAAGGACTTGAAGAGGAACTTTGATGTGTAAAGATTAGATCAAGTCAAGTGCAACCTGGTGGGCAAATATATTCCCTTTTTTTTTGCCATAATGGAGTAACCTTATGGAAATAAGGTTTTATATATATATTTTCTTTTGAAAGCTACAAACACACCGCTGTAGGTAATACTGTACTGATACTTTGCAAACATATTTTCCAAAACTATCGCTCTTATTTATATTCATTTAATAAAGTCAAACATCATCCTCTTAATGACCAATCAATCTCCCACCAAATAGTTCCTTCATCGTTTTATTTTTTTTTTTGTTCCCCGATGTTTAAATCCCTTCAATAGTTTTTTTTACGCCATAGTCTGAAACAAAATCCTAGATTTTGATAACTTTTTTGACGTCGCGCAAAAAATCTAGGTAATGGCACGGAAGTTTATTTGTTTGGTGCATGTTTAGCAACAGGGAAAATCCAAATTCTTATAATTTATATGATTAAAAGGCAAATTAAAAGGCAAACAAGCTAAACCATTACACTGCAGTGGTTCTGAATTCGTATGGATGTTGTTGAGCACTTTGACAAGAGCAGTTTCAGTACTGTGGTGTGCACAATGTTGGGGAGTTTTTTTTTTCTTTAGGCTCCTAAATGATTTATATAAGCATTTCCTGGAGTTAATTTGATACACTAGATATTGATGGGGGCGGGGGACTTATGTTGTTTTTTGTTTTTGTTTTTTCTAACTCTTCATGATGTTTTTGTGAAATGTTAGTAACTATGTTTTTCAGAGTTACTGACAGAGGAACTTATAACCCTTTCTATAGCTAGCTTAGCCTCAAACAAACTCAAAGCATGATAGCAGAGGAAGCACCGTTAGCTTCCTCTGCTAACTCCAAAACATTATACCCTCTTTAAGCAACTCGTTCAGATTTAATGTCAAGTTATATTAGAACCATATTAGTTTACAGCTGAACTCTGACAGTACAGGTGTGATGTTAACGCTAATGTTAGCTACATAGCATTTTTAAAAATTCTGCTCTCTGTTTGGCTAAAGATTAAGGTACGCAACTTTATGTAAAATTGACTTCTTTTTAGACTTTTTTTTCTTTTTTAGCTAATTTAATTTTTATCTGCGTGTTGTTCCCTCAACAAAAACATACCTGTCAGAGGAATTCTTTAATCTCTTGGGTGGAGCCAGCGCTGCCTTTGAGACGCAATGCCTCCTGGGAGCTGCAGTTCTTAAGCTTCCGCTTCACAGAGCGGCCCCACGCCCCCGCCGTAACCCCCAGGCAGCTCCTCCAGAGTTCCCAGCAGCATTTAGCAAACACCTGGAGAAACTGCTGAGCTCACTATCGGAGCTACTTCTCAACGCAATGCTAGCGAAACATGTTGTTGAAGGGTTAATAGAGGAGCCATGTTGTGACGACTTCTTGGAGGCGGAGCTTCAGAAAGAGCAAGAGTTTTTAAAGAGACAGGGGACCAATTTCAAGATAAACAATGAAGTCAAATTTCTATTGACTTTCTCTATATATAGATATATAATATTTTATATAAATATATACATATTTTTTATTTAATTATATGTAATTTTTTACAACAAAGAAAGTTGACATACTTGATTGTCTTATAAAATGGCACTTTGTGAACGGGCAAATACAATATTGCCCGTTGAAATGAATTAATTTGACGAACGAGATATGTTAATAGAAATGAATCAGTGAAATCCAAATGTGTTTTTTACTTGGCGATCCTTCTATGCTGAGTATGTAAGCGAAACTAAGTATGTGGTGAGTCACCACGGCCCTTGATTGAAAACCAACCTGAAAAACGCACCTATTTTGTCAACTGAATAATTATTAAACATATATTTGTTCATAAGTAGGAACCATTCCTCTAAAGAAGCTGTGGAGAAAGTATTAAAATAATAAACCCTACTCTTATTCATCCAAAACAAGTCAGTTTGCATTTTTATACCACAGCAATAAATGCTTACAAAACTGTCATTTTATGTATGTCAAATTTTTTTTTTTTGCCCAGTATTTGTCCGGTGACATTAAACGCTACTAAAAGCTAAAGCAGTACCACACAAGGTTCTAACCTACAAAACATCTGGTGCACATGCTCAGATGTTTTGCTTTTTTTTTTCCTCCTTCTTTTTCACTTTTCCCTCGCAGCATGGACGCTCCCCTGGAGGTGAGGCTGGATGGAACCGGGGGAGAAGCATATTTCATATCCAGCATCTTCTCACATTGGGTGTGTCCTCGTCTGCCGCTGGCCCCGGAGTCTGACCAAAATTAGTGGCCTGCATTTGTCCGTCCCATCCTGGAAGCCACATCATTATAACTGTGGCCTCTCCAACCCTGTCATTCAGCCTCGACTCTGCACTGAAATAGACTGGCCGGCCCGGGTCCATTCTTTAGAGTTAGCTGGAGCATTAAGATGGAAATCGCTGCTTTATTTTTTTTATTTTTTTTGAACAATTGTGTCACTTTCAAATGAATAGAAAAACAAAAATACATTTTTATCACTTCAGCATCAAATCGTAATTACTTTCCTCTTTGAACAGGTGTTCTCCCACGATACAACAAATATCCGTAATTGGCTTTAACAACATCCCCCTTTTCAATTAAGAATAAGCCACACTGTTGCCAACTTATCTGGAGGAGTAAATATGTTTCAGACTAAAATGCATTTCGTAAGAAAAAGTGGAAATCACACATTTTCAGCAACCAAAAGGCTCATGTTGTTGGAAACAAATGACACAAAAAATCCACAAAGTGGAAAAAGCCCCCAGCAACATCAGAGTGAACATAAACATGACATTTTTGCACACAAATATTCATAACCCAATAAAATTCCAACAAAAGAAGACAAATTTTCCTTTCCTGAAATATCGGCGGTTCAGGCGGCCGTCACTCACCAGTCTTTGTTTCTTCTTGGCAGGCCACAGCAATCACCTGAGCTAAGGTGAGGGCCAAGCAGATGGTAATCCTGGAGCAAGCTGAGGTGCCCATGTCTGCGCAACAGACATGCAGCGTCCTCACAAGCGGTTGCTGCAAAGCGGATCAGAGAGGTCCAGGGAAGCCCAGCCCGAGCTACAGCATCCAGGCCGGGAAGACAGAAAGACAGGAAAAAAAAGAAACAAAAACAACAAAACTCAAACGTCCCCGAGCGCAACCGGCTCCTGGATGAGCAATCACAGCTCACTGCAACAAGCTCCTGCTTCAGCCCCCACCCCTCCTCACCCAGACCTCCTTGCCACTCTCTCTCAACCTTCGACCCTCCCACTCGTCTGCTTTCTCATCGTTTCTACTTTTAGTCGAAGGCCACCCTCCTCTTCAGGCTCCGGCGAATGGCATGAAAGGTGGCCCTGATTAAAGGCTGCGTGAAATCGGCTCTAATTGGGAGGAGGAGGGACGACGGGTGCCTCTGGAAAAGAGAATACCTCTAATCTGCATTCAAGGACCTTTCAAGGACATTGCTCCTTTAATGTGAAGGAGCCGCCTTAAGATGTGGCAAATCCATCACTCTAATAGAAATGTCCAAAACGGACCCGATAACTCGCAGGTGTTTGATTTTGTGCTTGTTTCAGCTATTTTGGCTTCACTGCTTGTAGGTTTCGGTCACTTGCAATGTCACTGGCTCAAATGGAGAGAAATATTTAAAGGACTTTATCAGATATGTGGGTTCATTATTATGTCAGTACTGTTGAATCACATCAGGTAGGTCTGTGATTAATGCCATTTTCTGCAGGTTTAGAGCTAGTTTATATGCTTTATAGGAGTTATAAACTCAAGTACCTTCATTCAGCCTTCCTGTTATTACTTCCTGTTTTCCTTCTGGTCTTTCTCCTTCTCTGGAGTAATTTTTGACTTCACCCTACCCCATGTTCCTTTCTTCCTTCCTTTCTTCCTCTTTCACTTTTTGTTTTAAAGTACCAAGAGAAAGTCAATAAATTCATTCTTTCCAGTTTCAGAACATTTCAAGAGTACCTGAATAACATCCACAATCTCTCTGGGCTCTCCAGTTTCAGAGCCTTTCTCACCTCACTACGTTTTTGCGTTCAGACAAGTTTGAGCTCTCTCACAATTCCTCTGGATACTCTCGTTTCTGCCTTCCTTCCGGTTTCCCCTCATAGCTGTCATACCTGGAGAAACTGGACTCTATCTCCAGGTCCTCTGATTTATCCTCCGTCAATCCCGGTCCTGCCTAAGAAACCCAACACAGAACTGGGAGAAAGTCCAGAATTTCTCCAGACTTTACGGTTTCCTCCCCACCTACCGAGCCGTTTCCTGTCTAGAACACCTGCAGAAACCCAATGCTTACACCGAGTACTCTGGTTTCCCGACATATTTCACAAACACAAGGAACGGCTTTCTGGTGAGTTGCAAAAGAAGGTATAGCTTTATTATTACCATGGAAACTTCTAAAAAAAAACATAAAATGGAAGGCCTCTGTTTTATTTATTTATTTTTGTATCCCATGCAAAAGTTGTTGATTGGTGTAAATAGTCGACATTGCTGTTGTAATATGCTCACAAACTTGTAGGGATTCATCTTACTGACCTACATCTGGACACTCCATCTTGAGTGGTTTACAGTGTGTTTGCAGCATCCATTTGATGCGTTTTCCAGGTCAAAGCGCTGCCAAGTCTGTACATCAACCAGGCTGTCAGTGATGTTCCAGAGAAACGAAGCAAACCCGGGAGATTTCAACGTTGCGATTCCTTCGACTGTCGATACTGTACTCTTTTGGGGGTTGGGGGCATTTTGAACTTCGAAAGAGTGGGGAAACTGCTTCGAGTGCAACATTTGTCTTAATAGTGGAGGTAAACGCAGATTGTTTCCGCTGCAGAACAAGACAGGAAGTCTTTCAAGTGCTCCAAAGACAGCAGGCTGATTTCTCATTACTGAAACGGGGGGAGCCACCGCGGGACCGGAAAAAAGCATCAGACAAAAGCTCAACCTTTTGCGTGTCTGTGATGTTTAGATTTGCATTGAAACACATCACGGAAACGTTCGAGTCCGAGGTCATGAGGGCAAACCTCCGTACCACCCCTCTCCCTGACATCGCAGCTATTTCGCAGCTGTCCGAAGATGTTTTTATTTCTTAAAATATACTTTTTAATGACTTGCGAGATGTATTTTAACCAAAAGGAAAACATTTTGTATATCCGGAAGGCTAATTCTGGCCTCGGTTCCCTGTGGTAGGACAGCGTGCACACTTTAAACATACAGAGGGTTATTTCTGGACACGAGGCTGCGTGGCAGCGTGACCTCAACAGCAAAAGACTGGCCACTAACTGAACGTTTCCAACGGTGAACTTCAGCTCAGCGACGGCGTCAACTAACCCAGAACACAACAACAGCAACTGGATTTTAAGGAATCCTAAGAAAAATCAGCACGGAGGAAAAGCGTGATGTTTGACCCAAGCGTTTTTTTTCTAGTTTGGACAAGAGTAGAAAAATAAAGTGGAGCCTGGAAATACGATTTGAGTGAAACTTTCCTTTCCGAATATCCTGATCAGTCCCTTCTTATCTATTTCAGTCGAATTATGTTTATTAGTCATTCCTTCTGCTTATTCCTTCACTGGAATCTCTAAAACGCTCAAGTTGTGTTTGTGTCAAAGTCTATAGCTTGAATTACAGTTGCTGCTGCATTCTGTTCTAAACCCTTACCTGAGAAACATGGTGCCTGATGGCAGCCTGTCTTAAAACAATGTAAAAAACAAATCAAATAAAAATAACATGTTTTCTGTGGCTGCATGGCTAAAGGGATCCGTCAGGGTAATACGTACCTTCTCCCATATCGTCTTACACATCACATGCATTAATTATAATTTCACGAGTGTGAAAGAACACACCCGGACACAGAGTGTCAGCTTATGGGACGTAGCGGTGCCATCGTTTTTTTCTTTCTCTCTGAATGCTTTTGGGAGATTTAGAATGTTTGCTGCGGCCACTAAGAACTTTGTGAAGCAGGTCGGGGACACGGGGAGACTGATCCCCGTTCCGGGCCTGAGCGAGGCCGACCGCTACCAGCCCCTCAGCCTGGTCACCAGAAAGAGGAGGAGGCACTTCTGGAAGAAGAACAAGTACGCCTCGACGCCGTTCTCGCTGAAAGACATCCTGGTTGGGGAAAAGGAGATCGCAGCAGGTGAAGTGCAGCGTTTGGTTATTTTAGGAGTTGCCATGTGTTTTGAAGTTCCTTTTATATATATATATATATATATATATATATATATATATATATATATATATATATATATATATATATATATATATATATATATATATATATATATAAAGATGAAATGTATATATACATTTCATCTTAATCAACTATGAAACTATTAAAGTACATTTTTTCCAAATGTACATTAGTTTGTGCCTTCTCTTCATGAGGACTTTCAATCTGTTAACTTATATATTGTGTTTTCGAAAACATATGGACAAAGGGATGCTTTAACTGAAAATTGAAGACAAAAACCTTTTTTCTGCAAAGGACCACCGAAAAGCCAGTTTAAAAGTCTTTAGAGTGCATTTAACAAAGAGACCTTAAAGGGGCATTATTGTGTAAAATTGAATCATGTTATAATGTTATTTCCTCATCAAAAACATACTTGGAGTGTTGTCTTGATTATTTCATGCTGAGAAATCCTTCAATTTGCCATGGCAACCTTTCATGCTGTGCAAAACGCCTGATTAGCTCCTTCAAACTAGCCAGCAGCAATTAGCAACTGCAGTGCAACTGCGCATCTGTTGAGCTCATAATATGAGTTATTCAGAGCGAGGCTGTTAAAAAAAAAAAAAAAAACATTGTTAAAGGTTTAATAAGGCCTGAAGGCAAAGTTTAACAAAGAATATGAGTTTTTAAAGAGACAGAGGCCCAATTTCATGGAGTTAAATAAGAAAGTCAAATTTCTTTTAAGTCGTGTTTTACATGCACAGCATTTTTATTACAACTGAAGTCTAATCTGTTTTTTTTTGTCAGTTTGATCATTTCAGTACGCGTTAAGACACGAGATCGTTCGAACTACAAATTTGCGATTCGATGCAATCCCAGCGTTTTGTCTTTTGTCGTTTTCAGGAGTGTCGTCTTATCAACTCTTAAACTACGAGGACAAATCCGACGTAGCTCTCGGCGGTCGCCTGGGTAACCACATAATTCACGACGTGGGGTTCAACGTGAGTGGGTCAGACTCGGTGGCCGTCAAAGCCTCTTTCGGCATCGTGACCAAACACGAGCTGGAGGTCCCCACTTTACTCCGCGAACTCAGCTCAAGGTAACTTCATGTCTGACCTTGGGTGTCCTTTTGGAGACTGGAATTTGAGAAGAGGCTTTCCCTGTAAACATGAATTAATTATGCTATTTTACACTGGCTCTCACAAAGGGGGTTACAGTTAGGAGTAGAATACTTGAGAGAAAAATAGGTCTCACGTGTCCCTTTCTTTCCAGGAAGGTTGACCTGGATCACTGCCTGGTTCGTCAGTCCAGGGAGAGTGGACGGACTGTCCTGTGTGTGGTTGTAGAGAGCATCCGGACAACACGTCAGTGCTCTCTAACCGTCCACGCTGGCATGAGAGGGACTACCATGAGGGTAATCCTTTTTAATGTATGAAACGTCATTTGAGACGCTATATTTCAATGAGCAGAGATAACTCGGCTTTCCATTCTTCTGCAGTTTCAGATCGACGACGGCAGAAACCCCAAAGGTCGAGATAAAGCCATCGTCATTCCGGCTCACACCACCATCGCCTTCAGTATCTGCGAGCTGTTCGTCCGTCTGGACGGTCGGCTGGGTAAGAGTACGCCTTATGTCCAAACAAAAATACGCACTTGAATTAAAGGCATTTAGACTTAGACTTAGACTTAGACTTGACTTTATTGATCCCTTGGGAAGACTCCCTCAGGAAATTATAGTTACCAGCAGCTCACAGGCAAAAATGTGGCACACAGTAAGCATACACAAAGAATACAAAAAATACAATTAAATACAAAACAAAGAATATAAATACAACACAAAAGGAAATTATAGCAATTTGGTGGATAGATTGACCAGTGATATGGTATTGCACTGTATGGTTTGGCCTGATAAATATGGAGTTCACATTTGTAGAAAAACTGCTCCTTCTTCCCTCTGTCCTGTGTCACCTCCGACCCCCCAGTGAGGAGTTGTACCGTCTGAAGGCGTGGGGGACAAAGGAGTTCTTGAATCTATTGGTCCGGCACTTGGGAAGCAGCAGTCTGTCACTGAACCGGC